TCACACAAAAGAAGCATTAGTGTGTTAGTAAGCTGTGCGTCACAAAAGAGGTGACGAATGTTGTGATCTACTCGGTGAGACACTCGTGGAAGGTGATGCTCACAGAATGGGGTGACTTTAGTTCCGATGCTTCCCGTGCAGGGGAGGTGGGAGCCGGGCCTGATTTAAAGGGAAGGGAGAGGAAGGGTTGGCCTTGGGAGTTAACCTAGAATGAAGGGAGGCAGATTTGCTTCAGGGGGTCAAGGGCTTATCGGCCTCAGTACCCGGCATCCGGGAGAAATCCAGAGAGTGACCCATTTCTTCCAGCCTGGTCAGTAGTATTAAACCCTCAGTGCTCCCCGACCCCCAAAACCTCTGTGTCACATGGAACATGCAGTTAAATCCTAAGTTCAGATGATCATAAATGTTAGGGTTTTCTCTTATATAAATGCTCAGCAGACACTCAGAGGTCAGGTGGACCCAGGCAGTTGTCACTATGCAGGACACTCTGTGAACTTGTTTGAACACACAGCACCCACATCCAGGAGCACCCCTAACCCCAGGAACTGAAAAAGGAGCCGCCCTTTGCAGCATGCCCACCAGGGGGCAGTGTTGCGGCGCGGAGAAGGGAGGTCACAGTCCCACACAGCAACTGGGGGAGGACAGAGAGCCTTCAGCAGAGCCCTGTCTGACAGGTGAGCTTGCTGGGTGGTCGGTGGAGGAAGCCACAGTGGCTCAGCGGGAAGAGAGGAGCAGGGAACCCCCCTCCCCGGGTTTGCACGTGGACACAGTGTCTGCCAGGCCTGAGGTCACAGGAGACTGAGAGCCGGCAGTTCCCTCTGAGAGGCTCCTGCAGGGTCCCCCTCAGTCCTGTCATTTCCAGTGCACCTCTTTATTGAGCATCTCCCTGCCAGGTGCTGGGGACACCATCTCTCCCGTCAGTTGGCTCCCAGTCGGGAGGGGGAGAGCGTCCCACATCACCCTGCAGTCTGGTGGGGTCACAGTGGAGAACCCCACCTGGGCCAGAGCCTCCTGAGGAGGAATGTTCCGGGAGAGATCTCAGCAGGAGGGGTCCCCTGGATGCATGGAAGTCAATAGGTTAGAGCAGTGGGACCATCCTGGGTCACAGAAGGAATCCCCCTGAGGCTGCACCCCACAGCTCCAGTGGGCCCCTGTTTTGGAGCCAGGTGAAAGCTGGGGGTGGAAAATGAGGCTGCTTGTGAGGCCGGATGGAGCCAAGGGGGTGGGAGTGATGCATGATTGTGCAGCCTCGAGGTGGGATCTCTGGGTGCACAGAGCACCTGCCCACACCATCCAAAGCACTCTTGTTATGTTTGGTGTCAGCGTTCACATGTCTGTGTCTCCTCAGGACACAGATCTGGGCCTAGTCTGTACCTTCCCATTCCATGCGTTGTGCTTTTAGCCCATGGGGGCCATCCATAAATGTTGGTTGATGAGTGAGTGAATCTGTGAATTCTCCTGCTTCTCCCTGTAAGCCTGAGAGAGAGGACAGTAGGAAGGTTATCGGGCCCCCGGCCCCGCCACAGCATTTGTGTTGGTATCCGGTGAGGCCCTCTTTCTGGGCATCCGGTACCATCCCGGTAATGTTTGTAATGTATGTTGGTAATCACGGAGAAGTTTCTTCAGGAGACACCGGCCCAGACTCTCCTCCACCAACTGCACCAGGTTTCTGCCCTCACCCCTGGCATCCAAGCCCGCAGGTAAGCGCCCCCGCCCTGGCCCCTGTCTCTCCGCGAGGCGCTGGCTTTTGTGCTGTCCCGTGTCAAGGTCTAGGGTGAGCGGTGGCTTTGTGTTGGTCTTTTGGCTGCGTTGACCTGATCTCACTGCCCTGTTGGCTTTAGGTGTCTAGCCCAGCTGTGCGCCCTGTGTCCACCCCCTTCTTGGTCTGCACTCGCAGGTGGCCCAGCAATAGCAAGGCCAGGGCCTCACCGAAATCACGGTCACAGTGGCCAAGCTCCAAATCGCAAATGTGCCAATCCCAGAATGGTGTCATGTTCTACTGGGGGACTCAGCCCTTGGAGATACAACGCGCTTGGATGAGCACAGGTTCCAGATTGCACAGACCCAATATTGGTCCCAGGATGGGCCCTTCCCCTTAGGCTTTCTTCTTGGAAGAAAGAAGCTGGGCTCACCCAGTACCTCGAGAGCAGAGAGCAGCAAAATTGGGCTCCCGTGGAAGCACCATCCCTGTGCATCTCAGCATTGGTTGGTGGTTTTGGAAGGCTCCTTAATGAGGCTTCAGGATGGGACGGTCCACTCACACGGAGCCACTGTGGGAGGGAGACTTTGCTGTTTCCCCTCACCTTCTGCCTACAGATTTTGGTAAATTCACACTCAAAACTGAGGGCGCCTGTCCTTTCCCAGGGAGAGCTATGTACAGTGAGCATGAGGAAGTTCTGCCATCTGGGATGTTTCTCCGGAATCCCCCCGAGTGAGGGAAGTCCATTTTGGGGACATAAAAATATAGCCTCTCAAAGATTTTCCTTAGCGGTTTCAATTTTGTGGGTAAGACTCACTTCTCTTCCTCATACAATAGTGTCCTATCTGTCCCCCACATTGAAAATGATGGTATTATAGTTTGTGTTTCTATGTGATCCTTCTCTCCATGAGGAAGGGTATCTGGGAAACATTTGTCGAGAATGGGAGACAGTTGGCTGAGATTAACATGCCCCTTTCCACTTATCTTTTCTGAACACAAGAGAAGAATTCGTCCTTGGGGAAGAAATAATAACCGAAGTGGATTTATGACTATAGTGTTGCTCACACATACTGCTAACCCTTATTGAGCCCTGAGAGTGTGCCGGGCACGGGACAGAATATGGTACGTGTGACGCCTCACTGAATCCACATGACAGCATACAGAGTGTTTTCTCCACCATTTTGCTGAAGCCTTGAGGGGCCACGTGGGCTGCCCAGGGCCTCACAGTTGGCAATTCATGACACATCTGGTTCTGCAGCCAGTGCTCAGTGATGACACTTAGAACTCTGAGTAAAGGCATTTCTTCCATTGTCTTCTGTAATTTTGGCTCAGTCTAGAGACGTGAGATGGGTTGCACCTTCTCTGAAGGCAGTAGTCTTCCAGATTGAATGATTAGGTTCAGCCTCCGTGTATGGACCAGGCCAGTGTTTCCCGTTCAGTGAAATTCCCCTGCAGCTCCTGGTCACCCTGCTAAAGGGAGCCAGCTCTCCCCTGCTGTATTTTAAGGTCCCTCCTCTCTAAACTGCTGGGGCTAGGGGCAGGGAATGAGACCGTGTGTGTGCGCGCGTGCGTGTGTGTATGTGTGAGAAAGACAGACAGACAGACAGACAGAAGTTGACAATGAGATACAGACAAGGAAATCTATTTTTTGTAAGTCCTCATAAATATGAAGAAGATTATGCCCCAGGAACTCAGGAGCTACACCAAACCAGCCACACATCAACTGACACATGGCTTCCGGGAGGGAGAAATGTTATTTGCTGTTCAACCCTCACCCCTCAGAAGTTATGTCTCCATCCATCTTCCTTCTGGTCAATTTTCTCTAACTCGAAGATTCTGGAAGCAGATTCTTAATAAAACATGCCTGGGGGGGGCGGATTATCCATACCTGTGACTGTGTAGTAGCATCCTTCAGCCCCTACTTAGGGAGACTTGGTCAATGACAGAAGATTCTGTCAGGAGGATGTTGGCTCTGCACCAAAGGAGCTGCCCCAGCTTCGGTCAGCACAGAGACATGGCCAGTCCCCTGGGGAGGTACACATATCATCTCACTGGATTCTCACAATGTTGTGAGGCTGTGCCATAAACTCGCTTCAGAGAGAAGTAACCTGGGGCTCAGAGACATAACGTTGGGGGAGGGGGGGAAGAAAATTGGATTGGCTGCCAACATTCAAAACTCAATAGTTTTCCCCCAAATAGTTGGGTATTTGGCTTCTTGTTTGAAATTGGAAGCTCTGGCCACACTGGGGTCACATTGCTGCCTGAGGCTGGTTAGTGGGGAGGAGGGTGGCTGCCCCGGACAGAGGGGCACGGGCTCTGCATTTCACCCCCTCTCCCCCGAGCCCCTCACCCAGAGTCCCATGGACCAGGACAGGGGGCTCATAAACAGGCTGCCCCCCACCCTCATGTGTGAAATTTTGCCTTGTGACAGAAATTACTTGTGCTCTAAAAGGCAAGTGAATCAAATCTGATTAATTTGGAAAAACAAGTAGCAAACTTCTGGGCTCGGCTGTGAGGAGCTGAGTTGGGGAGTGGGGAGGAGAAGAGGCACGCTCCATTCTTTCCCCACCTTCATCTGGGGTTCTGACTTCACAGCAAAGCCTTCAGGGTTGGGAGAGAATTCTGGACAAGCACTGGGGCTGGCTCTGGACCCTAACATCATTGTGGACGGCAGATGTGACAGGAGCTTGGAAGGAGAGGCGAGTGGGCAGACTTCAAACAACTCTTTTCAAATCAGAAGAGACAGATGGATGCAGCTCCACAGACCATGGCAAATAGCTATGACGAATGTGATAGGTTGAGGCTCCAAACTCACTTTCCCATAGCCTGTTATGCCCAAGGAGCGTGGAGCTGGGTGTGCAAGGGTTAAATATGAAGTGTTGGCCTCACTGCTTCTGAGCCATTCGATTCCCCACTCTCTGTTTTCTAGCACAGCCACCTTGGCTGTTTAATTAGATGCTTTGTTCTCTCTAGATGCCAGTGGATTTTGGCTAAAAGTCCGGTCCAGAAATATCGCAGAGATTTCCTGCTGAGCAGAAAATTCCAGAGAATTGCAAAGTAATGGAGGTGAAGTAAATACCTTTAAAATTATGAAGACACGGGCGCCTGGGTGGCTCAGTTGGTTAAGCGACTGCGTTCGGCTCAGGTCATGATCCTGGAGTCCCTGGATCGAGTCCCGCATCGGGCTCCCTGCTCAGCAGGGAGCCTGCTTCTGCCTCTGACCCTCCCCCCTCTCATGTGCTCTCTCTCTCTCATTCTCTCTGTCTCAAATAAATAAATAAAATCTTTAAAAAAAAAAATTATGAAGACACACTGGTGATTATGTAAATAGGAATCAGAACAATGTCCTTCTCAACACTATCACGGAATGTGGGGCCAGTCTGCCCTTGGCGAGTAATATCCTAATGACTTCACCGTAAAACCAAACCTTACCCTTCTTTAAAAGTGTCATGTTCCCTCTAATAATTTGTCTTTATTTTCACAGTCTTGCATTGTTTCTAATAGCTTTTTTTTTTTACAACTAATTACATTTTTATTTGACTTAGACATGTTCAATAAATTGGCCTTATTTCTAATTCCTGCCACATATGGATTCGGAGAACCAGGCTCTGTAGCAGATCCTCAAAGTGGACCAGCAGCATCAGCATCCTCTGGGATCTTGTTAGAAGTACAAATACTTGTCTCCCCAACCAGACCTATGGAATCAGAAACTCTGGGCCTCCAGAAAGCTTCCAGGTGATTCTGAGGCATGCTAGTTTGGGAAACACAGCTCTAAAGCATGAGCTGTTAAGGATCTTCAGAAAAGTGGAAGGTTTTTTACTGAAGTCTTTAGTCTTCACCATCAAAACTTCTGAAACAACTTCATTCGGCCACCAGAAGGACCACATTTTCTGTGTATGAAACCAGAGGTCTGTCCTGCTGACATGGGTCTGGCTCATGTTTTGACACGGGTCTCTCCTGAGCATCTGTCCACCTCTTTTCTGGCCTGCAATATGATGAGAACAGCTTTTCCCAAGATCACAGGTCAAGAAATTTCTCTTTCACCTACTCCACCTTTTTCTTATCAAGATTTCTGATGTTAAAAAAGAAAGAAAAATCACTTTCTTTTTAATATTTTTCCCACATTTAAAACTCATTTAATACAAGGCTGATTGGAGAGTACTCATCTCAACCTATCCTGCTTCTCTTCTCCAAGTTCCCACTGTGGGCTCCTTTGCAACCTCTGTCCTGTTTTTGCTAACCTTCTCTTTTCAACAGGTCATGCATAGGCCAAACCTTCCCTTGTGCCAGTTTACCAAACCCTGACACATTAACTAATCCATCAGACTTTTGGCCTTGTCAACACCTGGGTAATGCAAAAGAACCCGAACTGGTCTTGGTTCTTGCCATGTGATCACCTGGTGGACTGAGCAAGAGAGATGGATGGACAGCAAGATATAATATTTTAGGGACCAAGGGCAGGGTGCCCAAAATATGACCCAATGGCATAGTGAGCATTTTGAATTAAAGCTTCTTGGGAAACAACCAGTACAAGGACCTTCCTCTAAAAGGAGAAAATAAATCACCCAGATGAACAGTAACCTCCCTATACCAAGAAGAAGACATTCTTATCACCAGAGATGGAACTCGAAAGCCAAGAAAGCTGTAGAAACAAACCTTGTTACTGTTTTACTCATCTACTACTTCAGCCCCAAACTCCACTTAGTATTCCTTATTAATTAAAGCTTTCAAACCTCTGTTTTCTTTATCCTCTTAATTCCTCACAAATTTTTGTCTCTTGGCCTAAAATGTATAAAATCTGCCTGCCTCAGTCATTTCTTTAGGTCTCAATTTCATTATTGTGCCTTTGTGTGCACATAATAAAACTGGTTTTTTTTCCTCCTACTAATGTCTCGTGTAAATTTAATTCTTAGTCCAATTGGAAGAATCTTGGACAGAAGAGTATCTCTTTCTCTTCTTGAATATCCATGACCAGAAGAATATCACTCTTCATTTTTTCCATTGATCTATGTGTCTGTTTTTGTGCCTGTACCATACTGTCTTGATGATGACAGCTTTGTAATAGAGCTGGAAGTCCGGGATTGTGATGCCGCCAGGTTTGGTTTTCTTTTTCAACATTCCTTTGGCTATGCGGGGTCTTTTCTGGTTCCATACAAATTTTAGGATTGTTTGATCCAGCTCTGTAAAAAATGCTGGTGGTATGTTGATAGGGATTGCATTGAATGTATAGATTGCTCTAGGTAGCATTGACATCTTCACAATATTTGTTATTCCAATCCTTGAGCATGGAGTGTTTTTCCATTTCTTTGTGATCTTCCTCAGTTTCTTTCATGAGTGTTCTATGGTTTTCAGAGTACAGATCTTTTACCTCTTTGGTTAGGTTTATTCCTAGGTATCTTATGGTTTTTGGTGCAACTGATTTCTCCTTCTGCTGCTTCATTGCTACTGTATAGAAATGCAACAGACTTCTGTGCATTGATTTTTGTATCCTGTGACTTTGCTGAATTCCTGTATGAATTCTAACAACTTTGGGGTAGAGTATTTTGGGTTTTTCACATAGAGTATCATGTCATCTGAGAAGAGGGAAAGTTGACTTTTTCTTTGCTGATTTGGATGCCTTTTATTTCTTTTTGTTGTCTGATTGCTGAGGCTAGGACTTCTAATACTATGTTGAATAGCAGTGGTGAGAGTGGACATCCCTGCCATGTTCCTGACCTTAGGGGGAAAGCTCTCACTTTTTCCCCATTGAGAATGATATTCACTGTGCGTCTTTTGTATATGGCTTTTTTGGTGTTGAGGTTTACTCCTTCTATCCCTACATGATGGAGGGTTTTTATCAGAAAAGGATTCTGGTCTTTTGTCAAGTACTTTTTCTGCATCTATTGAGAGGATCATATGGTTCTTATCCTTTCTTTTATTAATGTGGTATGTCACATTGATTGATTTGTGGATGCTGAACCACACCTGAAGCCCAGGAACAAATTCCACTTGGTCATGGTGAATAATCCTTTTAATGTACTGTTAGATCCTATTAGCTAGTATCTTGGTGAGAATTTTTGCATCCATATTCATCAGGGATATTGGTCTGTAATTCCCCTGTCTGGTTTTGGGATCGAGGTAGTGCTGGCCTCATAGAATGAGTTTGGAAGTTTTCCTCCCATTTTTATTTTTTGAAACAGCTTCAGAAGAATAGATATTAATTCTTCTTTTAATGTTTGGTAGAATTTCCATGGGAGACCATCCACCCCTGGACTTTTGTTTGTTGGGAGATTTTTGATTACTGACTCAATTTCTTTGCTGGTTATGGGTCTGTTCAGTTTTGGTAGTTTACATGTTTCTAGGAATTTATCCATTTCTTCCACATTGCCTAATTTGTTGGCATATAACTGCTCATAATATTCTCTTAGAATTGTTTGTACTTCTTTGGTGTTGGTTGTGATCTCTCCTCTTTCATTCATGGTTTTGTTTATTTGGGTCCTTTCTCTTTTCTTTTTGATAAATCAGGCTAGGGGTTTATCAATCTTATTAATTCTTTTATTTTTTTAAGATTTTATTTATTTATTTGAGAGAGAGAGGGTGCGTACGCATGAGCAGGGGGCAGGGGCAGAAGGAGAGGAAAAAGTAGACTTCCTCCTGAGCAGGGAGCCTGACACAAGGCTCAATTCCAGGACCCTGGGATCATGATCTGAGCTGAAGGCAGACGCTTAACCAACTGAGCCACCCAGGCACCCCTTGGTCTTATTAATTCTTTCAAAGAACCAGCTCCTAGTTTCGTTGATCTGTTCTACTATTTTTTTGATTTCTATATCATTGACTTCTGCTCTAATCTTTTTTATTTCTCTTCTCCTCCTGGATTTAGGCTTTATTTGCTGTTCTTTTTCCAGCCCCTTTAGGTGTAAGGTTAGGTTGTGTATTTGAGATTTTTCTTGCTTATTGAGGAAGTCCTGTATTGCTGTATACTTCCTTCTTAGGACTACCTTTGCTGTATCCCAAAGGTTTTAAACTGTCGTGTTTTCATTTTCATTTGCTTCCATATATTTTTAAAATTCTTCTTTAAATTCCTGATTGACCCATTCATTCTTTAGTAGGATGTTCTTTAACCTCCAAGTATTTGTGGTCCTTTCAAATTTCTTTTTGTGGTTGACTTCAAGTTTCATAGCATTGTGGTCTGAAAATATGCATAATATGATATGAATCTTTTGGTACCAGGTGAGACCTCATTTGTGACCCAGTATGTGATCTATTCTGGAAAATGTTCCTGTGCACTTGAGAAGAATGTGTATTCTGCTGCTTTAGGATGAAATGTTCTCAATATATCTGTGAAGTCTATCTGGTCCAGTGTGTGTGTGTTTTTTTTTAAGATCTTATTTATTCACTTGAGAGAGAGCGAGAGCAAGAAAGAAAGAGAGAGAGTACGTGCACAGAGGGCGAGGGAGAAGCCGACTCCTGACTAAGCAGGGAGCCCGATGTGGGGCTCAATCCCAGGACCCTGGGATCATGACTTGAGCCAAAGGCAGATGCCCAACAGACTGAGCCACCCAGGTGCCCCCCCAGTGTGTCATTCAAAGCCCTTGTTCCCTTGCTGA